CCAAGAGTTTGAAGTTGCTATGAGCTGTGATGCTACAGCACTCTATCCAGGGTGACAAAGTGAGACTCTGTCTCTAAAAAAAAAAAAAAGGAATATGTAGCTTACTGCAGAGTGAATCTAAATTGACAAAGTATTCTTCCTAAAGTTTATAGAAGTCACTACTATGATAAATTTCTTTTTTTTTTCTTTTTTGGCGAGGGCTGGGTTCGAACCCATCACCTCCAGTATACGGGGCTGGCGCCCACTCCTTTGACCCATAGGCGCTGCCCTGGTAAATTTCTAAGAAAGCTCCAAGCTCCTTTCAACCAATACACTTCTTGCACTGGTTTCCTAGATGATCTCAGCCACAAAGTTCCAATGGAAGCCTAAAAGAGATCACCATACCTCAGGCTCTGAGTTTATCGGTCTTGAACTCTTCATTTATTTTTGTCAACTACCCCTCTTCTTTCTGATGAAATTCTTTTCTTTTCTAAGCAATGTATTCTTTTTCTCCAAAATGTATTCTTACCTTGGTGTCTTAATCCCTGAAGTAAGAAAAAGTAATACTGTGCTTCTTAACTAGGGTACCTGACAAACTGCCAAGGAATACAAGAGTTTCTGGACAAATTCAGTGCATCTGCCTAGAGCACCAATTTTAACTGGAGTGAGGGTGGAGTTCTAGCCCTAAGACAGATACAATGGCAACAAATACAAAGTTCACCTAAAATGTTACCGAAGAGACAAGCTTTTAAGAAATTCCCTGTGGTATATGTACACCATGGAATCCTATGCAGTCATAAAGAAAGATGGAGACCTTACCTCCTTCATGTTCACATGGATGGAGCTGGAAAATGTTCTTAGCAAAGTATCACAAGAATGGAAGAAAAAGTATCCAATGTACACACCTCTATTATGAAACTAATTTATACCTTTTATATGTAAGCTGTAACCTAATAACAGCCTAAGAATACCGGAAGGTGGGAGGGAGGGGGAGGGGGAATGAATGGAGGGACGGGGATTGGAGGGATCACTTCTGAGGTTTATCTTACAAGGGTACAAGTGAATCTTTCTAAGAGCTGAATGTGAACGTTTTAAAATAATAACTAAGAAAATGACACGAAGGCTATGTTAACCAGTTTGATGGAAGTGTTTCAGATTGTGTGCGAAAACCCCACACTGTACCTCAGAGGTGCATTAATGTACATAGTTACTATTCAATAAAAAAAAAAATAAATAAATTCCAAATTTGTTTACAGAACAAAGTAGCAGAACCTCAATCTCTTCAGTATCTTCATCCTCCTGTTCTATTCAGGATACTTTGGCGGAAAGATCTAACATTCACTAAATTGAAAAGGTCAAAGAACATTTCTGCTCATTTAGTGAGAGCTTCCTATGTGCTAGACACTTTGGTAAATGCAAAAGGCACAGGTCTTGCCACATTAAGGAGTTTATATCATTATAATAATTTTCAATTCTGACTGAATATTAAAATCTCATGGGATATTTAAAAAATGCTACCAGCCAGGCTGACTGGGCATGGTGGCTCACACCTGTAATCCCAGGACAGGGAGGCGGAGTAGGGTGGATTGCCTGAGCTCACAGGTTTGAGACCAGCCTGAGCCAGAATGAGGCCTCCTCTCTAGAAATAGCCAGGCGTTCTGGCAGGTGCCTGTAGTCCCAACTACATGGGAGGCTGAGACAGGAGAATCCCTTAAGCCTAAGAGCCTGAGGTTGCTGTGAGCTATCGCCAAGGTACTCCACCAAAGTGACAAAGTAGGACTGTGTCTCAAAAAAATGCTACCGCCAAGCAACTGCTATGTCCTTTTCTCCCAAGACTCCAATTAGTCTCAGGTTGGGCCTTGGCATTAAGAGTTTTTTTTTTTTTTTTTTTTGGTACTTTAAGATTTCCCGGC